ATATTTGTGACAAAGATATTTTGAATCTCAGTACAACTCTTCTCATTCTTATGGACTCTGAAAAGAAGAGTGACATCACAGTGTGTGTAGAGATATTACATATCATATAAGTAGGTCTGTAAGGCTAATGCAGATTCATTCACTTACACTAAAAAGTCAGCACCTTCACCCCTCTTAATGTAGTTTTTAGAAGAAAGCTATTGTAGAGTAGGGTACCCCAGTAAGTTCATGTTCAGGTCTGCCTGGGATATTCCTTGATAGGATGATTTACTGTTTTCTACATCCTGTTTTACATTGATGGTTCTGAAATCAGTCATGGGTAAGAGATTTTTTTCTTTTCACTACATAACTGTGTTTTATTTCTACAGCACTGTCCAAAATGCTCACTGAATGAGGCAAGGGTCCTGTGGAGTTACACTGGGGTAAAACTAGTGTAAGTGAAATTGGATTCAGGTTCTATTTTTCTTGGTCCTTCTAGATAGCAAACACATCTAGTTTTTTGACGCTCATGACTTCACTTGTATCGGGTTACATCAAAGACTACAATGGAAACAAGACTGGTCTTTATGCTTCTTCATCTGGCAAATGACAGGAACTTATGTAAGGACGTGGTTTTTGAAGTGCCCTTGCTATGCTTGCTGCCATTTCAGAATTCATTAAATTTGTGCAATTTTTCAAATCTAATTAATCCCCATGATAGGATGTCTCATATCATAACACCTACATATAAAAAAAAATATAGGAGGTGTCAATTTGTCTTTTCCAGCTAATTGCATTTTTTCTCTTTAATACACTAAACTGTTGTAGCAAAATTGTGTGGAAATTGCACAGGGAACACAGAAAGGAGAAACAAGTATGTTTGCAGAATGGTCTCTAACCAGCTGAGTGCAGTAGAGCTTTGGTAGTTGCTCAGGGGATCTGTTTGGCTAGGGAGGGGACTAGAACTGAGTGGAAGCTACTGTTCACAGCATGCTGGGGGAATGAAAATACATGGATGGCATTGTTAAGTCTTAATGCCTTTACTGTAGCCAGAACATTATTAATCCTCTAAAAGTTAGTGTAGCTGTGGCTGGTGAGTCAATGACAGGCTGGAATGGTAGCCAGAGTACTGTCAAGGGGCATAAATACACTTTTGCAGTACACTTACTGGTACTTTGCTCTGAATGTCTGGTCAAAAACCTACTGAAGCTGGGGCCATTTTCCCACCAATTCCTAGTTTCTCTCTCAAAGTCATAACCTCATTTTAGAAAGCAGACTACTGAGACCTTGTGATACTGTCATAGTTAATTTTTCTTTTCTATGTCGGCTTCTATAAATGGGGATGGAATCCCACAAGCTAGAGCAGTGGTCTTAAAATGCCAGTTAATTTACCTGAGGTAACTGGATAATGTTTTCTCATTATCTGTAGTGTAAGAGTGATGTAGCTGTGTTGGTCCAGAAATTATGCGAGATGCAAGGATTTCTTAGGGTGAAATCTTTTATTGGACCAACTATGTAGTTGGGATAAAATTAAGCAACCTTTTGAATGCAAGACAGACCTCCTGATGAAGAATGTCTTGCATTTGAAAGCTTATCTAACTTTAGAGTAACTACATAGTTAGTCCAATAAAAGATATCACCCTAAAAAATACTTGCTTTTCTCATTATCTGTAGTATTACCTATATTTACTGCCAGGGGTATCTTTAAAACTATGGTGTTCTGTGTTGGGAGCTGCTAAAGTCCAGATTCTGCCACCTTATTAATGTTGCCTTGTAATGTATGTTGCAAGTAGTTCCACTGAAATCATTAGGACTAGATTCTGCCACCTAATTCACATAATACAGAGTGTGATTAAATTGGTTTAGTAAGCATAACTTTGCAGTTGAGCAGGTCAAGAAGCATGAGACATCTAAAATGAAAAAGAATATGCAATCAGGTGAGGTATATTAGTTGCCTCCTTTGTGTTTTGTGGGGTTTTTTTTTAAATCCCCTGAAAAACTTCCTCACTGTCTTTGGTTTCATAGGCCTTAAGGGCATATAACCGCTTTAACTACAGCCTTCCATCTCTTTCTGTCTTGTGGAATCTCCTTCTCTCTTGTTCCATCTTTGCCTATCCCTTCCAGATCAGTTATATATTATCTTCCCATTGTTTCCTTGATTTACCTTGAGGTCTGATACCCTCTATCTCTGGCTCCCAAATCTGCCTTACATGCCTTCTCTCATGTTTTCATGATATGCCCTGCATGTTTCATTCTCTGTACTCTTACCTTGCTCAAGACCACTCTGAAGGTATTCCTATTTTGATGTAGTGGAGTGGCTTGCATGTCTCTAATTATGAGAATTATGTCTGCTGTAGCATGGCATAGCTGCCAGCAGGGAAGGGGCAGGTAAAATACGGCTTGTGGGCCAGATCTGGCCTGCCAGGCCCTTCTACCCAGCCCACGGGGCCCCTAAAAAAATTAGAAAATTAATATTTATCTGCCCCTGGCTGCCTACCAAAGATGACAGGAGCCAGCAGCAGTAGTCTGGGAACCCTGGGGCTGTTCCTGCCTCCCTGTGATGGAGGGAAACTCAGATAAGAAGGATGGGGGGAGGGAGGCAGGAGAAGACTGGGTGATTGCCCCAGTCCCCAGGGCTGGGCTGCTCCGGCTCTTATGGTCTTCATGCTGCAGCCGGGAACCATGTGGTGGTGCAGCGGCCAGCAGGCAGGGAGGGAGCAGGGAAATGGCTGCAGAAGGCGGGGGAAGGGGCAGCAAGTGAGTGTGCAGAGCACAGCAGCAGCTGGGCAGGAGCACAGGGCCCACGCTAGTGCCAGTGGGGCCCTTGGTGGGGCAGCAGAAGCGTGGGGCCCAGGCTGGCAGGGGCTCTATGGAGCTAGACTGGCTTCCCCCTCTCCCTGCTGATGCAGGCCAGTCCAGCTCCATAGAGTCTCTGACAGCCTGCAGCCCACCCTAGGACCCTGCTGGTTCTGGCCCTGGCACACCAGCATGGACCCTGTGCTCCTGCCCAGCTGTCACTGTCTTCTATATTGCCGCTCACCGCTATCTG